TTGGTACCAAGGCTAGAACTCGGATTCTTGCGCCTGCGGAACCACTGAGCTAAATCCCCAGCCCTGTCCACTGTAATTAAGTTGCTCCTCATCTCCCCTTTTAGGCCTGCAGGACCTGTGCTGATGTCGCCTGTTGTATTCTTCATACTGGTGCTTTGTGTTCTCTGTTTTTCCTGATCTTCTGGCCGCAGTTAACACTTTTACTGACTTCAGAGAATCAGCTTTTTGTTCCATTGATTTTTTTTTCTCTTGTTTTCCATCTCATTGATTTCTGCTCTTAGTTTTACAATTTCCTTTCTCCTATTTCCAGTGGGTCTTGTTTGTCCTATTTTTCTGGCTGAGACCTTTTTTCTTTACTAGGATGGGAATTCTGTGTTGTCGTTTTCCCCTTGAGCATTGCCCTGGCTCAGTGGTGGCAAACCTTTAGGGAACCGAGTGCCCAAACTGCAACCCAAACCCCACTTACTATCATAGAGCACCAACACTGCAGTTAGACCTGAATACTGAGGTCTTAGTTTGGAAAAAAAAAGCAACTGTTACCTGATGTCCGGCTGCTGGGTGCCCTGGCTCACGCCGACAGAGTGGTCTCTGTGTACCTGCTCTGGCACACGTGCCACACGCTCGCTGCCACGGCCCTAGCTCATCCCACAGATAGGCTGCAGCTGAAATAAAGCGAATGCAAAACAAAAGAAAAAGTTATCACTCAAGAAAACCCTTAGAAAGACAGAGGTCTGGAGCATCTGGCCGTGAGTAGCCCCCAGGTGCCGTGGTCTTTCAGGACAGTTCAGGCAGGAGAGTGTGAGTGTGCGGGGTGGGCCACCCTCTGCTCTCTGGGTTCCAGGGGAACCCTGGGGCTCCTTGGCAAGGGCCCTTCTTCAGAATTCCCCCAAAGGCATCCTGCCAAGGTTTTCTCTTTACTGTGGGAAAGGGATCACTTTTTTAGCTCTACTCCGCATAAAACAGCTGGCTTACTTTGAGAAGACTTGTGGCATAGAAAAGGGGTTTGTTTAGTATACAAAGCTGAATAGTAACCTTCTGCTTGTTAAATATGGTAAATATTTTCCTCTAGTGTGTTTCCTATTTTCTGACTTGTTTATCATGTCTGGTTGTCTTCATTTATTGCTCATGATTTTGTTTTGCTTAGTAACACCTTTCTTAGGCCAAAGGAATTTAAAAAACTATTGTATTTTTAGCAGTTTTAAGCTTTTACTCTCACATATTTCACCAATCTAGACTTTTTTTTACACATGAAATGTTTTACTTTCACCTATTCAAAGCCATCTATTGAATAACATTAAAAGCTAAATGGAACTGCCACCTTTATTATATATACTGTGAGCCCCTCAAACATCAATGTTTTGACTATTTTCATTCATTGCATATTTCTGCACTTTGATTATTATTTTGTAATATATTTTGTTTTCTAGGGAAGATGAGATCTTATTTTCCTTCTGTTTCAAATGTTCTTTACTTTAGGGTCTCACATTTTATTTGCCATGGATATTTAGAGTCACTGTTTTTTTTTTAATCCCATTGAGTTGCAAATTTGTAGTTTAATTTGAGGAGCACGAGTGTCTTCATAACCACACCCTCTTTCCCAGAAACACAGTAGGATGCGACACCCACTTAAGTCCTCCCCTGTGTGATCAATTAATCCATTGGCTGTTGATCAGTTACTTAATTCATTAGCTGTTATTCCCTACTTGGCCACAACTGCCATTCCGGTACATCCCGTCTTCGTTAATTGCACTCGAGTCACTAATAAATCATTGACTGGAAAATGGTTGGGTGCATTTTGGTTTCCGATACAGATCTTTGAGGTGATGTCCACTCATTAATTCAACAGCCATACGAACAAGTGTTGGGCCTCACTGCTGAACTGGCCTGCAGTAGGACAAATGCACAATTATAGTTGGAGATTTCAAAACAGCAATTGACAGAACAACTGGATATAAAATCATGAAGTTAAAGGAGAACCTAATAACACCAACCCACAAGATCTAATCAACATTTATAAACACCTCACTGAAAGAAATGGAGAATACACATTCTTTTTAAGCATCCGCAGGACACATACCAAGGTAATCTATATCCTAGTCTGTGAACAAACCTCAGCCTTTTAAAAGAGCTGAAATAAGGCAGAGTGGGTTCTCAGGCCACAATTAACATAAATATCAAAACAGAAAAACAACGGAAGTCCCAGTGCAGATTTCCAAACTGAACGATATGCTTCTAAGTAATCATCCGTGCACCAAAAAGGAAGTTTAGAGGGGAATTTTTAAAAAATACACAGCCCTGAGTGAACAAGGAAACAAACACACCAAAACGGATGGGGGCACTGTGAAGAGCAGAGCTGAAAGAAAAATAAAATGTAAAATATTTACAGTAGAAAGTACCCCTGGGCGCTGGGCTGCCGTAGGCTCTTTCCAAGTTCTCTTTGTCTTGAATGAAGAAATGGAAAAGACGCGTGAAAAAGGTAGCGAAGGTTTGCATTTATTAAGGCAGGAAAAGACGTACACTCCGCAGAATGAGAGCGGGCAACAGAGATCGTGATCACAGCGGTCACAAGGTTAATGGTGGAGGTCTTGTATCCACGCCGGATGTAGGCTGCCCTATCAAAAACCTGCTCGATTTCCTGTCGGAAGAACTCAAGACAGCATTTCCTGATTGACCCCAGGCGCAAGGCTTGGGAACTATTTCCTGTACCTGTATCCTGGATCTCCGAGATGGATGTAGGCCATGCCCACTTGCCCAGCAGGCTGGCTACACCCTAATCTCCTGCTTCAAAGGAGTGAAAATAAAAAATCTCTTATCACTTATTTTAGTTCCTTCAAAAACTGGGTATGAAATAGGAAGAAAAGGACCAAAGGTGTAGGGACAGTGAGAAGGATAGGGAAAGGGGAATAAGGGAAAAGGAAAAACATATGAGAAAATGTAAAAATGGAATTAAAGTGTTTGTAGGTGGGGAGGGGAGGAGGGGG